GGCCCCCTCATCGGGGTGGGTCCAGCTTCTGCCTGGCCCCTTTTCCCGCTGTCTTAACACCGTCTGCACTGTGCCAGGGGCCTGTGGTTAGGAGCAGGGTGACATCCACAGTGAGGCTTCTGTCTCCCAGAGCACAGAACTCGGGCTAAGCATGTGGTATGTTAAAGGGAACAGGGCTTCACTTCTTTAGCACCTCGGGCCATTGCTCCTGACAGTTCCGCCCCGACCCGGCCTGGGGATTTTAGGTAGAAACTCCTCTGATTACTCACTTGGGTGCTTTGGAAGAATCGATGGTGCTCTTTCATCTGACAGCTTTTATTTATAAATAGAAACTTTAGGAAACACAAGGCCAGTAGCCATAACACATACATTCTAGTCTCAAAAAAATTAGTTAATTAGCCATCTTAGCAATGTAAGATTTTCCCCCTTGCTCTCTTCTTTTAAGGCTTTATAAACCACCCAAGCCACTAGGGCAAGCAGAGTCTAATCATGCTCCTCCAGATCCCGGCCCTCCCTTCTCAGCTGAGTATACTTCAGCTGGCTCTGGGGTGGGTGACATGCAGTTGCTCAGAACAAGCCCACTAAAGACACAATTATAGAAACTTCTTGGCCTCCTTCTGTCTCTCAGGTTTCCCTTGCCCTGACACGTTGACAACAGGGCTAGGTAATATCGGTATTTCATTTGGATAGGTTCTTGCCTTCCATTACCATCTGGACCCAGCGCTGGCGTCACTGGCTAGGAGGAGGTCAACTTATAGGAATCAAGAACCAGGACAAAGCCTGAGCCTTGGCCCCTGCGATGTCCATCGGCCTCTGCCCTTTCCCTTTCCCTGTCAGAGCACCTGACTTGTGACCTGAACTGGCCCCAGGATGTATCCCCTTCGGGAGCCCACCTTTGAAACAACGAGTCTTGTTTCATCCTGCAGCTCAAATTGTCCACCTGTGCCACTTGGAAGAGGCACTCTTTAAAAGCAGACAAAAGCGCTTGGCATGACTTTCACCTTTCCATGAAGAGTGGATATTTGAAGCAAAGGCAACAAGAAACAACATACAAGAAAGGAAAACGCACACAAAAGGGAGGGAGAAGAACGAGGAAAGGATTGTGAAGAAAGTTGCCACCTCAGCAGCGTCTGGGCCCTGCTAGAGAGATTGGTACACGAGATGCAGTTCTCTCTCACGCCACTGCTCTCAGCCCTGCCCAGTTCCATAAGAAGAGTACATATTCAGATTTCTTTTTTGATTTGGGGTCTCCCTCTGTTGCCCTGGCTGGAGTACAGTGGCATGTTCACAGATCACTGCAGCCTCAACCTCTTTGACTCAGGCGATCCTTCTGCCTCAGCCTCCCGAGTAACTGGACTACAGGCACGTGCCACCATGCCAGCTTATTTTTTGTAGAGACATGGTCTCGTCAAGCTGCCCAGGCTGCTCTCAAACTCCCACCTCAGCTTCCCAAAGCACTGGGATGACAGGCGTGAGCCACCACCCCCCAGCCATCTATACTCAGATTCTAAAGGAAGATGGGAGCAAGGTTTCTCTTGGGCTTGTGGCTCTACCTCAGTAACCTCAACCTCGTCGTTTCAAGGTAACCATCTCCAGACTGAAATTTTCATGCCATAAAAGAATAAAGACAAGGGTAAGTGATATAAAACCCAACAATCCTATGATATGAGTGGGAAAGAAAATTCAGTTCAGGGCTTCAGAAAGTCATTGTACAACTCCTGGGCCAGTGGTTCTCAACCAAGGGCAACTTTGCCCCTCCTCCCCTGGAGACCTTTTTGGCTGTCACAACTGGGGAGATGCAGCTGGCATCTAGTGGACAGAGCCCGAGAGGGCTGCTAATGCTACAAGGCACAGGATGCTTCCGCCACCCCCAACAAGAGTTATCCTGCCCAAAATGTCAGTAGTGCTAAGGTTGAGAAACTGTCCCAGGGCTAATTTATAGCTAGACTATAAACCCCTTAAGGACAGGAACGCTTTTCTAAGCTCAATCTAGGAATAGAGCAGGGTCAAGTTAAATGATCGGTCCCAGTTGTCCCAATTTGGTGGAGCCTTAGATCCCACGCCAAGTACATGCACTTTCTCTCCTAGAAGATTTCCCTAACATTACTTTTCTCCTGGCAGAATGTTCTGACTCCATAGTTCTTGTTCACTTCCAGAGAAAACCCCCAATAAACCAGACCCTAATTACAAGCGTGCTTCAGCAGAACAGTCTATGAATATTGAGTCCAAATCGCTCAAGGTTCACACTGACCGTCTCACACCGTAAACCTGGAATGGCATGTTAGAGTCCGAGGCCCCCAAGCTGGGTGTGAGAGGGCCTTTTGCATGCATGTGCTCCCCCGCCATGGAGTTTGGGGCTTCCCCGCTTCGGAAGGCCCTCCCCGTTGCTCCTTGGGAAGCACCCCCGTTTGCTGCCTGTGTGTTTGGGAAGTGAGAGGGAGGCATGAATTCTGGCCAAGTTTCTATAATCAGCCTCCAAATGAACAGGTTTGCCTTGGACTGCCATGGATTCTCACTCATGGGCTCGTGGAAGCTGTAGCTCCTGGCAAGCCACGCGGGAGGGGGCAGCAGCAAAGCTGTATTTGGGCTTTGATCTTGGTGTTCTAAGCCAGCAGTTGGTCTCCCTAGAGGCCCCTGAAGCTATCACAGCCAGCCTGTGAGAATCTACTCAAGCCCTTGGCTACAGACCTGCTTGCACTCTACAAGCAGCTACTTAGACCTGAGCCGGTCTAAGAAGATGGCTAATTCTTCCCAATGCCACAGTCCATCGTTACGACTGGGAGTTACTCTTGGATGTCAGAATCAAGTTCCTGCACGGCTTCTTCTGATCCTCTGTAACTGCCCTCAAACACTGTCCCTGCAATGAAAAGTCAGGATTGGCAGTTGTTAGTGTCCACTTAGAATCACAACATATTAGCACCGAAGGACGCTGCATCACTCAGTCCAACCTGGCAATTTATGGCTGAGGAAACCAAAACCAGAGAAGGGGCATGGTCTGTCCACATCATACAGCCAGGAGGAAACAAAGTAAGGCCTGGAACCCGGGTCTCCTGGCTCGAGGGAGAGTACTTATTACCCTACCCCTGGGTTGCGCACGGACCAGCCAACAGAGCAGAGCTGAAAATGGAGTCATTGTGTCATAAGCAAAATCCTACTGATTTCTGAGGGCAAAATCCCTTATCCCCTGGCAGAGTTTTTAATGTTTCTCATTGTACTTAAGCGTTGAAGTCCTTCCACTGAGCCCTTGAATACTACATTTTCCATTTAGAAGAATCAGAAAAGAGAATGTTGTGTCCAGAACACATACCAAGGGATATTTCTGTGCATTCAGGTCGCTTCCTAGAAATGAAGTTATCATCTCATAGAGTCTTATTTTTTAGGCTGGCCAGTGTTCACAGATTCAGTTTTCAGACTGAGAAACTGAGGAAAAGAGTGAAATTGCCTTTCCTAATGGTCTCTGGAGAAGAGAAGACAAAGGACAAATTATTGGGCAGCACTTAGTTAAATGATGGAGAAGGACAGAATTCTGACCATAAGTACAGGTCAGTTCAGAAGGGTTAAGTTCGAAAGCTTTCTGGAAAGGGCCTTGAAACACAATCTTCATATGTTCAACAAATCTTAGAAGCAATAATCTCATGACATAAGAAAGGAACCAATAAAAATACATCAGGTGAGACACAAGGAGTTACAGTTACACTTGTCACAGATTTTGACAAGTGGGTTAACAAGGTCACCTTTAAATATCAACTCCTGGCCCAGTCTGGCTTACAAGTGACGTTCAGAGATGAAATGGTACCTCCACAGACCTGCCATGCTTCTGACCACCTGAGATTCCCACACTGGGAACCCATTGAGAATCTACAGTGAAAAGGTGAGCTCAGGGGTTTGAAAAAGGGTGTGGGGCCCAGGAGTGCTCCCTTTCCCCCGACCCCCAGTTTCCAGCAGTCTTCATGTAAGCAGTGAGCAAGGAAAAATGTTAATGTACTTCTGTAGAGTTACAGATTTAAGAGGAAGAACCGAGCCCTCATAGCGTCAAGAATAAACCAAACTACTAAGCATTGTTCAATTTGGAACACATGTTCCTGAGCTTATGGACACTCCAAGGAGATCAGATACAAAGGCCCACCAAGGGTGCTTTCTTGCCTGATGGGCCCTGCTGCGTCAGACCACAAGTTGCCTGTGGCCGTGGACATGGGTTACGCCCACTGTTTCACATCTAACAAAGGAGCGTCCCTGGATGTTCACTGACGGTGCAGGAATCACCTGGCCAGGCCCAAGATGGGTTGGCCATAGCCCTTGATGCCAGAAAAACCTAGGGTGACACGTTTGATCTCATGAAACGGGTCTTGTCATGTGTCTTAAGAGAAGGAATTGTCCAGCACAGAGAAGTCCCCAAGAATATTCTTACCCCATCTTCCCCATCTGTGGGGGATGCCCAGGCTTAATGAGAGCTTTGGTCCATGCACCTGGGGACACTGACTTGTGCTTCTGTCTTTTTTTTGGTTGAGTCAAAGTCTCACTCTCTTGCCCAGGCTGGAGAGCAGTGGCATGCTCACGGCTACCATAGCCTCAACCTGCTAGGCTCAGGCAATCCTCCAGCATCAGCCTTCCTGGTAGCTAAAACCACAGGCAGACACCACCACGCCCAGCTAATTTTTAAATTTATTGTAGAGACGAGGTCTGGCCATGTTGCTCAGGCTGGTATTGAACCCCTGGGCTCAGGCAATCCTCTTGTCTCTGCCTCCCAAAGTGCTGGAATTACAGGTGTGAGCCACCACACCCAGCAGGCTTGTGCTTCTCTGCAAAGACTCAGGAACGTGGAGAGCAGTGAAAGGAGACCCAAGTAGCTCCCACACCCAGCTTCATGAGGTTCCTGGTTCCCAGGGCGGCCAGGGAGCTCCCACAAACCTCCTGAGGGCATTAGTGCCAGAGCTTGACTTCACACAAAATGGACGTCTTGGCACCCCCCCCCACCACCACCAAATGCTGCGTCCCCTCACCTTGGTGGAAGGACACATACACCAGCCTCTCATCAAACTTCTGGACCTGCCGGAAGTTGTTGATCATTTCCCTGGGGGAAGGGTCGTCCACTTGTGTGCAATACAAGGCAGTCTCCAGAGCCAGCAGCTGAGGGGAGGAGCAGAAACACCCCCACGGGCAGAGTGACGCTCCTTGCCTTCCCCACCCACCTGGGAGAAGTCTCTGGAATCAGCAGCCCCTGTGATGCTGGGTGGGAGACATGAGAAAGCAGGGAGAAAGCCAGAGACAAGGGTGGGGGCCGGGATGCCAGGCAGCGCTGGGGGAGGACGGTCCTGGTAACCCCTGATTAGGCCTGGCGTCTGTCCTGCGTGGAGGGAAACCGGGGGTGACGGAGGCTGCACTCTTTTCATGGACTGAATTGGAGCCCGACTCTAAACTGGAGGCACCCGGCTTATTCTGGGTGTCACATCACCAGGAATCAACGCAGGAAGGTAAAGGCAGGCAGGCCCTCTGACTACCACAGGCAGGCCCTCTGACTGCAGGCCCCATGGTGCCCATGGATGATGTGACCCCGTCCTGGGCCGTTTCCGGGTTAGGATGCCGTTGCTTCCCCACACGTCTCCTCTTTTGATGTGTCCCATCCTCCCTCCCGTCCGCCTACCTGCTGCCATTTAGCTAGATGACCCAGGTCGGCAGCTCATCGAGGGCAGGAGGAGCCCTAGTGGGGGCTGCCCTGGACTCATGGGGCTGGGAGGGGGCACGAGTCCCTGTGGAGCGCCCACCTGGGACCCCAGGGAGCCTTCTCCTGAATTGAGGCTGTGGAGGAGAGGGACGAGCTATGACCCGGAATTCAGATGACCTGACTTTGGGTCTCAGCTTTGTCACTACACAGTGGGTGATTCCCCAAAGCCTCCATCCTTCCCCTTCACCACCTACAAAGAGAGAAACTTAGAGATGACTGCTGCCGGTTTGGTCTCCCAGTTTGGACTAGACTGTGAGCTGCTTGAGGGCAGGGACCCTCACAGATGCTGCTGCGATCCCAGCTTCCCAGTTTGTCTGGTGATTTAACCTGATCCTGTCTTGATTGGGCCCCAGGAAGGAAGCAGGCTCTCTCCTGCTTGGGAAGCAAACACCACCCAGCCCCTGAGCAAATGCAGCTTTGCCTCTCTTTTTTAAAGAACTGGGAGACATGTGTTCATTTTCCCAGTGCCACTTGATAGCTCCTCTTTTGAAGTTGGGCCTGGAAGTTCTGCAGCACTTTCAGGCACCTGTGAGGTTTGGGGCAGTTATGAATACCTGCCACAGAAACTCTAAGTAAGGAAGTCACTTATGATTTCATTGATTATGGTGTGGGTTATGGGGGAGATTAAGGTGTTGCATGGACTCTGGCCGAGTCAGGCACGACAGTTACCTGCTCCTTGGAAATCTGCACAGGGTTTCGGAAAACCGTCCAGAGCACAGTGGGGTGGCAAGGGGGCGTGGTCAGGGAGCCCCTGTAGCGGTAGTATTCCGCAGTCTTCCCGGGAAGCAGTTCCTCAATGTTGAAGGCTGGAATCAGCACTTCTTGGCCTGGAGACGTGTTGGTGAAATGAGGGGATGGTGTCAGTCTACCCCCCCCCGCCCCAGGCAGAAGTGCAGCTGAGCACGGTGACAGCCTAAAAACGTGAATTTGCTCCTTTTGGGGCCATCCAACCTGAGGGCCTGGTCACAACACTGTTCAACAAGCTGCTGCCCTTAACCTGGTGAATACAGACTGCAGCCACCCCTGGCGTTTGATTTTCGATATTATTTTTCTTTTTGAGTCGGAGTCTCACTCTGTCACCCAGGCTGGAGTGCAGAGGCACGCTCATGGCCACTGCAGCCTCGACCTATTGGGCTCAGGCAATCCTTCCACCTCAGCCTTCCGAGTAGCTCGAACCACAAGCATGTGCCACCACACCTGGCTAATTTTTTTAAAAATTGTGGTTCTAGCTACCAGGAAGGCTGATGCTGGAGGTCTCACCAAGTTGTCCAGGCTGGTTTCAAACCCCTGGGTACAGGCAGTCCTCTCGCCTCCACCTCCCAAAGTGCTGGGATGACAGGGATGCGCCACTGCACCTGGCTTGCACTTGTTTTTCTTAGTCACACAGAGCTGACTACATCCTTCTCCAGCAGAGAGTGAACAAGCATCCTCACCTTTGTATTTCACATGCTGAAGGTGACTGAAGATCTTGTCATAGGCGGGATTGAAAGAGCCCATCTGCAACAGAGATGGCACAGGTTGAACCCAGACGGACAGCACAGATGGGGTCAGGACTGACAATTCCATCAGAAGAGTGAGGCTGGGGGTATGTAGCCACCACTGCCAGGTTCTCTCCTGACGGATCTTTTTAGGAGGACAGTGTGACTGTGGGAGGCGGGCTAATGGCCCTGTCCTCTTGCATCTCGGGATGTCCTGGTTTCAGCTTACAGCAGGGGGCTCATATGTCCCGGGGGGGGTACTGTGTGTGTTCCTGATGATCCTAGATGTGAGCCTGAAGACACCACCAGCATGTTCGTCTAACCCAGAACTTAAAGGTTAAGATTTTTAAAAGCCGGGCAGGTGTGGTAGCTCATGCCTGTCATCCCAGCACTTTGGGAGTCAGAGGCGAGAGGATTGCCTGAGCCCGGGAGTTCAAGACCCACCTGGACAACTTGGTGAGACCTCGTCTCTACAATAAATCAAAAAATTAGCTGGGCGTGGTGGCATGCACCTGTAATTCCAGCTACTTGGAAGGCTGAGGTGGAAGGATCGCCTGAGCCCAGCATGCTCATCGAGGCTGTGGTGGCTGGGAGCATGCCACTGCACTCCAGTCTGGGTGACAGAGTGAGACTGCGACTCAAAAAACCCAAAAAGCCAAAAGATCAAAAAAGCCAAGCCAGGCCAGTGAGCTTGTTAGGAAATGAGGTAAGAGCCGCTTGAAAAAATGCTAGCCAATCAGAAGACATTCCCATTTCCAGAGGTTAAAGAAGATGGAGAATGGAGTTTGGATATAGGGAGTTCTAACAAGGATTCGGGCAACTGATGGGGCAGCATAAAGACCCCCTTCCCATACAGTCCTCCCCAGACTTATGCCACAGGGCTAGGACTGGGGCTTGTTTTTCCAATGGCACAGAGGACAAGTGCCATTTCTGCAGCTCGGATACAGAAAGTGTGGCCTCCAGGCCAAGAGAGAAAGAGCACTGCGGGGAGAAAAGACAGTGCCAACACGGGAAAATCCCATCACCCACAGTTGTGTGTGGAGCAAAATGTCCAGGCCCTAGCTTGTCTCTGCTCCAAATTGCCCTTAGAAACCTTTTAGACATCTCTTACCTCAATGAGAACAGCCAGGACAGCGAGGCCTTCGGACTTGTTGCTGGCGGTGCTGGCATCGGGATACAGGTCTGAGTTATAATGGACAATGTGCAGCTGTGGAGGGGAGAAGTCGCCCATCAGGGGACTGGCGACTCACGGGCGCCTTTGCTTCTTCAGGAGACTTGAATCCAACCTGGAGGATGGACCCTCATGCCTCCCATGCCCCGAGCTAGAGTAGGTCTCTCAGGCCCTTCCCCTTGGCTTGCCAGTTTTCCCTTTTCCCTGAGTTCTCTCTAAACTGCAGACTCTGCCAGGAGACTGTGTCTCTGCTATTCACTCACCCCCGGGTCTGATATGGCGCCTGGAAACTACCAGGTGCACAAAAGACATGAAGCAATGAAGGAATGGAAAATGGGTTTTTATACTAACCAGGAGAAAGCTTGGGTATGGAGCACTTCTCCCTTCTGATTTTTCCTGCTTATTCTGGAGCTGAGGCCAAAAAGATCTCCCATGGCTTGCCCAGCCTCAGCCTTGGCCTCGCTGCACTTGGGGCATGAAACCTCCAACTGTGACTTAATCATAACTGTATTCAGCACAGGACTCCCTCAGGGAAATTTAACCCTCGGAGAAAATCACAGCATGGATTTTATAAAGGTTTCATCAGCCATATTTTTAGAGGCCATAAAACAAAAATATAACTCCACAGACATAAATGTTTGTGTTTACAAAATAAAATTAGAGTAGAAATTACTTGTCATTTTTAAGGTAACGGGAAAAGTCTTTTGAGAAATCTGGACTTTAACAAGTCTAGATATGTATTAAGACCATTGTAGCAACAAATTCTGACAACGTTCAACCTGATTTTTTTTTTTTTTTTTTTTAGTTGGAATCTCACCCTGTTGCCCAGATTGGAGTGCAGTGGCCACTCCCGGCCACCACAGCCTCGACCTGCTGGGCTCCGGCGATCCTTCCGCCTCAGCCTTCCAAGTAGCTGGAACTACAGGCGCGCGCTACCACGCCCAGCTCATTTTTGATTTATTGTGGAGATGAGGTCTCGCCAAGTTGCCCAGGCAGGTTTCAAACCCGCGGGCTCAGGCAATTCACTCACCTCGGCCTCCCAAGGTGTGGGATTACAGACTGAGTCACCGAGCCCAGTTTCAACTGATTTTTAATGCTAAAGATAATGTCACTTGACCTTAAAAAATTCTCATTCATAGAAGTATACAACACGTGCATTTTTGTTGATTCTTTATCCTTGAGACTATGACACATTGAGATTTTATCTCTATTTCTTTTTATTCATCTCTTTCTCCATTGTATGTGTTTATAAATAGAATTCAAGAATACTTATAGAATGCAGCTTAATGCCTCCATTTTGAACTTTAAGTGGCCTTTTCTAATTAAAAAAAAAAAATTGGCCTGATGTGGCAAGCTGCAATCCCAGGACTTTGGGATGCCATGGCAGGAGGATCTCTTGAACCCAGGAGTTCAAGACCAGCCTGGGCAACATAGTGAGACCTCATCTCTACAAAAAATAAAAAATCAGCTGGGCATGGTGGCGCACGTCTGTGATTCCAGCTCCTTGGGAGACTGAGGCAGAAGGATTACAGGACCCCAAGAGTGTGAGACTGTGGTGAGCCGTGATCAAGCCACTACACTCCAGCCTGTGCAACATAGTGAGACTCTGACTCCAAAAAAGAAAAAAAAAAAGAGTCTTCTTAACATAGACTCCATCCAGAAGAACCACTATATTTTCAAGGACCCTCCACGGAGACAAAATATGTCACTTTCAGGTCACCCTGATGTCTTCTCTTTAGTATGGGAATTTATGGTCCATCTTAAGCAGGCCCTGATGATGTGACTTAATAGTAGGAAATACAATAATTAGAAATATTTTTACATGCATAAACCCTCCCAGCCTACACCCTAACTCCTTCTTTATTCCCCACGAGGGAAGTAGAAGCCTCAGCATTGCAATAAGCCTGGAAAAAAATTGTAGTTTTGGCCAGATACGGTAGCACGTTGGGAGACCAAGGCAGGAGGATTACTTGAGCCTAGGAGTTTAAGACCAGTCTATTCAACATGACGAGACCTCGTCTCTACAAAAAGTAGAAAAATTAGCTAGGCATGGTGGTATGTGTAGTCTCAGCCACTCAGGAGGCTGAGGCCGAAGGATCATCTGAGTACAGGAGATGCAGCCTGCACGACAGAGTAAGACTCTGACTCAAAGAAAAAAAAAAGGAGAGAGAAATTGAAGATCTTGATCTTTAGGGAAAGGCTGACCTGAAACATGTGAGCCTCCAGTCATGCCATCCTACTGAGTCAGAATCCTATTCCCTCCATGCTGGTAACTAGACCTAATTAGCCTGAGACATTAAGTAGTTCGGCAGTTGTGACCAGAGAAGAAAAGTCACAGCATCATTCACCAGGGGCTCCCCTGACTGATCTCCTCACATTTCCCTGTCAACATTCAGAAGCACACCCCCAGTGCAGTGTGAGGTCAGCTCAGAAATGGAGCGCCTCAACCCCTTCCCACGCCTGCACAGGAAAAACACTCTGCCCCAGCTGGGCATGGTGGCTCACGCTTGTCATCCTTGTCATCCCAGCACTTTGGGAGGCTGAGGTGAGAGGATTGCCTGAGCCCATGGGTTCGAGGCCAGCCTGGGCAACTTGGTGACACCTCATCTCTACAATAAATCAAAAAACTACCCGGGCATGATGGCGCATGCCTGGAGTTCCAGCTGCTTGGAAGGCTGAAGCAGAAGGATCGCCTGAGCCCAGCAGATCAAGGCTGTGATGGCCGTTAGCATTCCACTGCACTCTAGCCTGGGCAACAGAGTGAGACTCCCACTCAAAAAAAAAAAAGGCAGGGTGCGGTGGCTCAGCCTATAATCCCAGCACTTTGAGAGTTCGAGGCAAGAGAATTGCCCGAGCCCAGGGGTTCAAGACCAGCCTGGGCAACGTAGTGAGACCTAGTCTCTACAATAAATCACAAAAACTAGCCGCGCATGGTGGTGTGCATCTGTAGTTCCAGCTACTTGGAAGGCTGAAGCGGAAGGATTGCCTGAGCCCAGCAGGTCGAGGCTGTGGTGGCCATGAGCATGCCACTGTACTCCGGCCTGGGCGACAAGAGTGAGACTCAAACAAACAAACAAAAAATGCTCTGCCCCTTCTGACATTTTAGGGTAGCAGCTCAGGGTGACATAATACAATGCTGTGCTGACATCCCAAGCTGCCCTCAGCAAGTCTCTGATTGCCATGACGCCCTGCACATGATAAGGCCAGTCACCCTTTGATGTGTTGCAGGTAGAAGAGAGGCCCTGGACCCGTGTCCCCATGTTTCAGAATACAATCTACGTTCAGAGAAGGAAAGACAGGATGGGAAAGATGTATGCAAACATCAGGACATATTAAGAATGACTGAAAAGTTCGGGACTAGGACAATGAGCCCCATGTGAGTCAGCCGGGGCAAAAAGCTGGCGAGATCTTTATTTGCACAGATAGTAGAGTAACATCTAGAAAAGGGTCAGTGTGCCACCTGGGAGCACTACCTTCTCGGTAGCAAGAGGGCGCAGTGTCTCATGCCTATCATTCTAGCACTTTGGGAGGCCAAGGTGAAAGGATTGCCTAAGTTCATGGATTCGAGACCAGCCTGGACAACTTGGCGAGACTTCATTTCTACAACAAATCAAAAAATTAGCCAGGCATGGTGGTGCATGCCTGTGGTCCCAGCTACTTAGAAGGCTGAGGTAGAATGATTGCCTGAACCCAGCAGGTTGAGGCTGCTGTAGTCGGGAGTATGCCACTGCCCTCCAGCCTGGGCAACACAGTGAGACTCCAACTCAAAAAAAAAACCAGGAAAGAAAGAATGGAATTGTAACAGCCCAGGATAATTTTAAGTTATAAGATCTTAAACTTACAGCTAACTACAGGATGGAGGAGGAAGAGGAAGACAAATGGTCTAGATGAGAAATAGATTTGAAATCGATGAGGTCTATCTTGTGATTATTTTTATTTGAGTTACCAGCCTGGGCAACAGAGTGAGACTCCAACTCAAAAAGAGAGAGAGAGAAAGATAGAGATAAACTCAGCATATTCAGGCAGAGAAGGGACCCCCGACATGCAGATGAACTGCAGGCTGGCTGGAGGGCTTGCAGCTTCCTGAGCCAATGGCAGGACCCGAGACAGTCGTGGGGAGCCTGTGGAAAGCCTGCAGGCAGCCTGTGCCACGCTCTGATCCCATCTGCACACCAGCCCAGTGGAGGGAGCCCCAGACCACACACAGCGGGGCAGCCTCTGCCTGTTCAGCGGCAGCCTCCCTCACCTCAGCCGCGAAGTGCTTCCCGCCGACGGTGTGCTCGGAGCCGTGGGAATTGTTCCGGTTCCCCCAGTGCAGGTGCAGCTGCGTGGCACTGTAGCGGGACTGGAGGCCCTGGATGTGCATGTCCGGGAGCAGGTTCAGTTTCACTGGGGGAGCACAAGGGGCAGCCTTCAGAGCCCTGGCCAGCCACACGCTGCCAGAGTACCATCAGGCGGGCGACGCCTGTGGGGTCTGGACGGGGGCAGATGGGTGTAGGCAGGTGCAGAGAGATGTAGCCAGCAGGTCACACACCTGGGCTCTTTCCCGAGAATGTCCCTGTTCCCCTAAAACAACTCCAGTGGCACAAGCACCTTCATGGTTCCCCTTGAAGAATGACATCAGGAATTCTAACGCTAGACCAATGGATGGACGTTTATTGGCCTGTGTGTTAGACGCCTAGCTATGAAGAAAGAACCTTTAGTGAATCACTTTCAAAGCTGTAGAGTTATACAACAACAATATTCATTGCTATTTTTGGAGCATTTACTTCACTCTGTATGCCAGACCCCAGCATAGATAATGTCTAGTCTTCATAGTACCCATCAGTATGTCCATTTTCCGGATGGAAACTCAAGGAGGTTGAAATTCTCACCCAGCGTTTCATGGCTCATAAGAAGTCAAGCCAGCATTCAGATCCAGGTTTGTCTGACTCCAAAGCCTGGGTGCACCCCACCCCCCAACAGAACTGCGTGGTCCCTTGAATAGTTCACGATGGCCCAGAATTCACTCCAGCAGCACAGCCACTGAACCCCGGGTTCAGGCCTGTCTCCTCTCCCATCGAGAGACATGCTGCCTGGCAGACCCGCCCAGCCCAGGACCGCGGCATCCCCTGGAGAGCGTGGTCTAGGCATCTCTCCTGGGTGCCTCCACAGAGCCCCCTACCTACCAGGTGGAAAAGGGCCGGCTGGGGAGTCTAGGGAAGCTGGGACACATCCCTCAGGTCTCTGCAGTCCTTCCCTCACCTGAATGGCCGTTGTTGGTCAGGAGAAACTGTTCGTTGGCAGACACATTGTAGCCTTGGAAGCTGAGGGGCACAAGGCTGGCGTCATACTGCAGGATGTCGCCGTGCAGGTCTATCGGGGACTGCAGCAGGCCCCCACAGGACGGGAACTTCTTGGACCAGGTCTTCTCCCCGTCAGGACCTGCACAGAGAGATGCAAGCTCGAGATTTAGTCCATTTGCCACAAAGGGTTTTTCCTCACCTCCTGATTCTGCATTTTTCTCCTCTTTCTCCTTTTTTCTTAATCCCCAAAGGTCAATCTTCAAGGCCCAGAGGCCTCAGCCTACAGAATCAGGTCCAGCAAATGCCTCAGACCACTACTCTTTTCTTTCTTTCTTTTGAGCTGGAGTCTTCCTTTGTCACCCAGGCTGGAGGGCAGTGGCATGCTCACGGCCACCCCAGCATCGACCTGCTGGGCTCTGGGGATCCTTCTGCCTCAGCCTTCCAAGTAGCCAGAACTACAGGCATGGGCCACCACACCTGGCTAATTTTTGATGTATTGTAGAGACGAGGTCTCGCCAAGTTGCCGGGGCTGGTCTTGAACCCACGGGCTCGGGCAATCCACTCGTCTCGGCCTCCCAAAGTGCTGGGATGACAGGCTGAGCCACCAAGCCCGGTCTGACCACCTCCTCTTAAGTGACATGGAGAAACAGGAACTACAGCAGCCCATGCCAGAGACTAGAGCCCCCCAACTGCTTTATTTTGTATATTGTTTGTACTTGACACAACACACATCTTCTTCCTGCAAAGGCTTGTTGGCTTTCAGCACTTTAGCACCTGCACATTGAACACCTGCTATAAGCCAGGAACTGCTCCGGGCTTGGGACCACCAGGTTGAACACAGCAGAGCCCCTGCTCACCCAGATTCTGGTTAACGAATCTGTTGGGCTACCCCAGGTTGGAAAAAATTGGTTTCTGGCCGACCACAGCTCCAGGTAGGTCTCTGAGGCTGGTGGTTTACAGGTGTGATATTCCTGATAGCAAACCCCTGAGGACACTGACTCTCCATCTCCTCATCAAGAGAAAGTAGATAGAAAAATGTCAAGTAATTATAGGCCTGGAATCACGGAGGAAGAGCAGGATTTAAGCTGGGGGAAAGTAGGACAACACTATAAACAAATTATTACAATATAATTGACAAACTATCACCTAAGAGGAACAGACTTGAAAGGAAAAAAGTCCTTCGGGGCTCAAGCTTCTAGATAACTACCAGATAGCACTCTCCCCCGGCAATGAAAATAAACATCCCATGTGCAGATAAATTTTCCTACTCCAACAGGGAAAAGTCTTAAAGAATGTAAATCTATGTTTAAAAGATTATCTCCCATGGTAATTAAGCAGATTTTCAGGCTGAGGTTTCTCCAGAAAAGCAAATAATTGACAAGTCAGGGCTTGTGAGGGTATAACCACAGTGCCCCAGGGGCTATATCAGAGTCCATCAGAGTCAGGGATCCAGAATTGCCATCTGGGACCCTTTCATCAGTATTTCGACACAAGTAGCGGTGTTAACTAGAATAAGAGGGGAGTGAGCACCACCTCTTCTGGGAATGCTTCCATCACCAATAGCACCGTTTCACAAGAATGTAAATGTGTGTTCCAGCCCCATAGAAGCCCCAATCTCTACATCTTGTCCTCTAACTAGGAGACTTCAGCTGAGAGTGGGGAGAGTCCAAATACTTGGTACCCAGGTCCATTCCAAGTGCTCTGAAAGTTAGTTGCAGGCTTTAGTTGTTCTAGGTCCTGGGAAACACAGCAGACCCCTCCTAGCATTCCAGCTGTCAACCTTTGGATATGCCTTTTCAGAAATGTTAGTACCTGAAGGGATTTCAACATCTCCAGGCCAGCTTTTCATGGGATACCCGTTTGCTCACATGTGCATGCCAGGGTCTCCACTGAGTTATGCTGTTTTATTTTCAAGTCTCCGGACTCAAAGCAACTCAACTATACCAAGATGGAAACTAGGGAAGAGGGAGACTGGAGGATGCCAAGGCACTCCAGGGACAGAGTGGAGTAAGACAGGTATTCAGCTGGGGGCCAAACCAGAGTCTTTGAGGCAGCAGGGAGCAGAGTGAAGCAATCACGAGACCTCAGTCAGGGCTTCCCAAGTAAGGCTGCCAACCTTTTCTTTGCTGACAATACCACCTGGGCCCACAGCCAGCGGGGCAGAAGCTGCCAGCCAGGCATGAATGGAAAAACTCAGGAAGTAAAAGGATGTAGCAATGAGAAGATTTTTCCTTGCACACATGACTAAAGAGAACTGGGTTAGAAAGACTTTCTTTCCCCAGAGTGAAAGTTCAAATAGGTTTCATCAAGAGGGTATTTGAATGATGATAAGTAAACAAGAATTCCTTGAAGACAGACACCCCTCATCTTCATCTCTATGGACCTGTGTTGTGAGTAGGGTCACGTGCATAGTAGGCATGTAGAAGACATTTTCCCGAAGAATAAAAGTCCAAAAAGCACAAAGAGCTTGGGAAAACGTGGCTGGGAGCAGTGGCTCAAGCCTGTAATACCTAGCACTTTGGGGGGGCTAAAGTAGGAGGATTGTTTCAACCCATGAGTTCGAGACAAGCCTGGGCAATATAGCAAGACCTCATCTCTTAAAAAAAAAAAAAAAAAGCTGAGCTTGATAATGCATGCCTGTAGTCCCAGCTACTCAGGAAGCTGAGGCAGGAGGATTGTCTGAGCCTCGGAGGTCAAGGCTGCGGTGAGTTATGATGACGCCACTTCGCTCTAGCCTGAGTGGCAGACTGAGACCCTGACTCAAAAGAGACAGAAAATGCTATCAGGAGAAATATTCCTTTTTCTTTTGCCCTAAGTATTCTTTATTGGAAGTTAGGGGCAAATTAGTTATTTGGGAACAAGAAAGACTAAGAATATTAAAGGCAACAGAGTCAATGTTGGCAAAACCTTTCTTGGGAAGAGAAGCAGCTATCCTGGACCACGAGAGTCCCGAGAACAAGATTCCAGGATCATCTGCCTCATCACCTCAAGGAGCAACCTTGAGCAGGTCATGTTCCCTGCCGGAGCCTTACTGCCCTTCGTACAAATGGGAGGGTTGGACGCTGTGTTCTGGAAGGCTCCTTCTGGCTCCTAAGCTCTGAGATGTATTAAGAATACTAGGGGCTGGGCTCGGTGGCTCAGCCTGTAACCCCAGCACTTTGGGAGGCAAAGGCGAGTGGATTGCCTGAGCCCACTGGTTCAAGACCAGCCCAGGCAATTTGGTGAGACCTCCTCTCTGCAATAAATCAAAAATTAGCCAGGTGTGGTGGCACATGCCTGTAGTTCCAGCTACTTGGAAGCTGAGGCGGAAGGATCACCAGAACCCAGCAGGTCAGCACTGGGGTAGCTGTGAGAGCGTGCCACTGCCCTCCAGCCTGGGCAACAGAGACTCGAACTCAAAATAAATAAATAAATAAAAATAAAAAAACAAACGAACACTAGGACTAGGTACCTTCGCCCTCCATTTAGGCACGTTTGAATGAATTGGAGAGGTTGCTCATGCCAAGGCAGCTCCTGGGCATGTGACGAGGTGCCTAGTAGGAAGCAGCTTTGAACAAGGGCACAGGGCACTGGTGCTCCCAGGAACGGCTGTGAGCAAACAGCCATCTGCATCAGGAACTTGCCCTAGCTTGTCCCTGGTCCTTTGCTTCTCTCCCTCCTGTTTCTTCACCGCCATTATTACTGTTATTGTTTGATTTTAGTAGTTTTGATCCTTACAACTCTGTAACTCTGTGGGGGTAGCAACACAATTTTCCCATTGTATTGATGAAAAATTGAGATGAAGTGATTTGCCCAAAATTCAACCTTGCCTGGTCACAGGACCTCGTGTCCTTCTGCTTCAGTATTATTATTATTAAATCGAGGTCTCACTTTGTCACCCAAGCTGGAATGCAGTGGCACGATCACGCCTCACCACAGCCTCGACCTCCTGGGCTCAAGTGATCCTTCAGCCTCTGCCCTCCAAGCAGCTGGGACTACAGGTGTGTGCCACCGCACCTGGCTAATTTTTTTATTTTTTATTTTTGTAGAGACAAGGTCTCGCTATGTTTCCTAGACTGGTCTTGAACTCCTGGGCTTTCTGCGGCAGGATTTATCGAGAAGATTGTGTGCATCTGTTTCCTCCTTCCCTCATGCTCCCCTTGTAGCTGAGGGCTATGTCTCATTCATACCCGCACTTCCCCCCGTGCCTGGCACAGAGCAAACCCTCACATGTTTACTGAGCTGGACTGTCAGCATCTGTTTCATGCCTGTTCCTTTCCAGGAGAAGCCAACACCTTAATCCCCCCATATATTCTTCCCCTCAAAAAAACAGGCGGAAAATTGGATCCCTTGCTCAGTTCAAATTGTGCCCTCTTAGCTTTCTAGCTGACCCGTGTGAAAATGGTTTCTGTTTGGGACCACTCTTTAAAAAAAAATCTGACTTCAGCCTTGCTGCCTGGGAGGTGGCCTGCCAAGAATGTGGCTTCACAGAAGCTCACAGGACCCTCCCCAGTGCGTGATGACCTGTGCCCCTTTCTTGCACAGCTGGGGACACTCTCAGAGCAGCCTCCTGTCTCTGTGGCCCGTGGGTGAGAGATACAGGTGCCATGGGGGTGGGCACCTGGACAACTGCTATCAGGGGAGATGGCAGTGGGTTCCTTTCTGTTCCCTGAGCCTCTGCCCACGTAAGGTGTGACTTGTGGCCACACACACTGGCCTTACGCTGGCTGCTGGCTACACCCCTGAGTGCAATTTTTCACCTCAGTCTCAGCTTTCACTCATGCCAAGTACTCTACTGCCAGAAACCCTCTGCTAAGAAGGACGCTACTACAAGAAACATTTCTTCCCAGCTACGACAAAACTTGCCTTAGCTCTTCTGAGTTTTAACTTCACCTCTCTAGCTGGTTGGTTTCCTCCCCTAATTGTAATAAAGGAGATCACGCGCCTTTCACTGTTTGTTTTCCCAAATAAAACTAAGGCATTATTTCTTTCCAGTTCAGGAATTCTCCTGCCCTAGGCAAAGCAGAAGTGGCCAGAACTCCTGTTTTGAAATGTAACAGGAGATTCACATGGCACCGCTCAAAATGCCTCTCGTGATTTCAGATTGGGAACTATGAGGCCCAGGGCACAGGTCCTGTATTATTCCAGGACTAGATTTTTTTTTTTTTTGAGTCGGAGTCTCACTCTGTGGCCCAGGCTGAAGTGTAGTGGCACGCTCCCAGCCACCACAGCCTCAACCTGCTGGGCTCAGGTGATCCTTCTGCCTCAGTCTTCTAAGTAGTTGGAACTATAGGTGCACGCTACTTGCCCAGCTAATGTTTTGATTTGTTGTAGAGATGAGGTCTCGCCAAGTTGTCCAGGCTGGTCTCAAATCCCTACACTCAGGCAGTCTTCTCACCTCCGCCTTCCAAAGTACTGGGATAACAGACGTGAGCCACTGCATCCAGCCAGAATTTTTTTGATGGGAAATTTCAAACGTATACAACAGTAGAGAGAGGGGAGAAATGAACCCCACACCCCCCAGCCAGGACTCTTTACAATTCACAGCCAGTCCTGTTACTCCTCTCCCATGTTTACTCTCCCCCTGTATAACTGAAAAACTTGGAAACAAATCCAGATACATTTCATCTGTACATATTTCAGCATGTGTCTCTAAAACATAAGGACTCTTAGTACCACAATACCGTTACCACACCTGAAAAGTTAACAATCAATGCCACAATATTATCCAGTCCAATCACAATCCAAATTTTCCCAAATATGTCATAGCTTTTTAGTGGTTTGTTTGTAAAATCCAGGATTGAAACAAGGTCCACATGTTAACATGCCGTGATCATGCCACCATACTCCAGCCTGAGTGACAAAGTAAGACCCCAACTCAAAAAATAATAATAATAGTGAAAGTAATAATAATACTGAAGGGCTGGGTGTGGTGGCTCAAGCCTGTCATCCCAGCACTTTGGGAGGCGGAGGCGAGAGGATTGCCTGAGCCCGGGTATTCAAGACAAGCCCAGGCAACTTGGTAAGACCTCATCTCTACAGTACATCAAAAAATTAGCTGGGCGTGGCGGCTCGCACCTGTAGTTTCAGCTACTTGGAAGGCTGAGGAGGAAGGATTGCCTGAGCCCATCAGGTCAAGGCTGTGGTGGCTGTTGAGCATGCCAGCCTGGACAACAGAGTGAGACTCCAACTCCAAAAACATACTGAAGCAGAAGGACATGGAGATCCTGTGACCCAGGCGAGGTAACTGTTACTTTGTCAAAGCTGAACTTTGGGAAAATCACTTCCTCTCAATTTTTCATCTATAAAATGGGGCAATTCTTGCCTTGCTAACCCCATAGAGCTCCACGTATTACAACCTACATTACACAGTATGTTATGGCCTAGATTACAGTTTGATGGTGTGATGCCCATTGGAGAACAGGCCACCATGCCTCCACAGCTCCAAGTCTCAGGCCTGGACTAGCTCGGTCTATCCTTGGCTCTCAGTGAGTTGAGAAGTCCCAGGTTTCCGTCACCACCGCCACCAGCTCTACCCTGAGCTAGCCCTCGCCATGTCACACCAGAAGGTGACTGGCCCCAGCCTTTCTTGTTACACTGCCAGGCTGGTTCTCCTGTTGCAACCAGACAACTCTCGAAGCAGCCCAGTTTGGAAGGCACCGCCTCACCACCCATCCAAACACTCCCTTTCTCCCCAGAACACCTGCCCCACCCCAACAAGACAAAGCAGGACCTGTTTTTCATGGCATCCAAATGCCCCAAGCTGCCAAGGCCTTCAAGGGCCCTCATGCACCTCCCTAGCCCACCCTCATGGTCAAGCTCACCCATCTTCACAATGGGTTATACCGACCTATCTTCACAGAGGTTCTTACTCTAAAAATCTGCTTACATTAGAAGAATCTGCCTTCTTCTTTCCTTGGCACCTTTCTAAATCCCATCCACTATTCAAAGTCCAGCTCGAGTCCCGCCAAAGCTGTTCCAGTGCTTTCCAGTGTCCGTGGCTTGAACTTCCTGGCCAGCCTACTAGGGGTTCCTTCGCTAGCTCAGTGGCCTGGCTCCTCATCTGCCTGTCTCCCTCTGACTGTTCTCTCTGGACAAACACATAGCTCACTCCAGAGTAGCCCATACCCTATCTACATGTTTCAAAGACTTTGGAAGATTAGAACTTTTTGTGACATTCGTCCTCATGTCTGAATGTATAGCAGCGCTTGGTAAAACACTTGAGGAATCGATTTGGAAGGTTTCTTAAGCTCGCTTCAGAAATGGAGCCATAGGAATGAGAAAAGACTTTGTGTGGGGTGGTTATGACAGGAAATCGGTAACGAGAAGGGTTGGCTTTGTTTTTTAACGAAGAGGCTTGAGCAAACTTCCATGTGGATGGCAAGAGAGCAGAGCCAGGGGGCTGGGTGCAGAAGAAAGAAGAACAGAGCGAATGCAGTGCAGCCCAGAGAAGGCAGGGCGGGGGTAGTCCAGCCACAGAGGTCAACATGAATCAGGGCTGAAAGGGACACCAGTGTTTACCAAATGGTCCAGATCCATCTCGTGAACAACCCAGTCAGAAACCCCAGAACTCAGCAGGCTACAAAGCAGATCAGAGAAAGCATTCGCTACAGACACGAAGGCTATACTTTCACATTCTGACACACATGCAGCCAGAGGACACCAAGGAGCCTAGGACAGTTGATGTGATTTCTAAAAATACACTAATATTGGGCTATTTTCTTAATATGTGTTGTGTCTCATTTCAAAATTTAATTATAGAAAATTTCAAAGCACATCCAAAAGTAAACATGTAGTATAAGGGCCCTGTGTACCCATTCTTTTCGTGACTAATGTGGTTTTGTCTACACCTGCGCCCCAGCTATTCCGCCTTTTCTGAATTATTTAGGAGAAAATCTACTGATGCTAATAAATCACTAAAGAGAAGGACTCACTCATCAGAGTTATTTTCACATCTAAAAACGGTTAATAATTCCTTGATGTCATCAAATATCTTGAGTGTTCAAATTTCCCTGATAGTCCCATAAATATATATATATATTTTTTAGTTGGAGTCTCACTCTGTCGCCCAGGCTGGAGTGCAGTGGCTAGATCAGGCCACCCCAGAATCGACCTGCTGGGCTCCGGCAATCCTTCTGCCTCAGCCTTCCAAGTAGCCAGAACTACAGGAGCGCACTACCACGCCCAGCTAATTTTTTGATTTATTGTAGAGACGAGATCTTGACAAGTTGCCCAGGCTGGTTACGAACCCGCGGGCTCAGGCAATCCATTCTCCTCGGTCCCCCAAAGTGCTAGAATTACAGGCTGAGCCACCAGGCCCAGACCGTAAATCTATTTTAACAGTTTGTTTGAAGCAGGGTCCAAGTAAGGTCCATGTGTTGTGACTGATTAATATGCCTTTTAAGTTTCTTTTTATTTAAGGGTTGCTTTTTCATCTCTCTCCAACTTGGATGCATTTAGTCAGTATGTATATATATGTATAGACTCATTCTTGCCTTGGGCAAATAACTTATGGAAATAGATGCAGGATAATTATATAAATTTTATAGCCTATTTGCAGACATGGAACAGGAATAAGCGAAAAAAATTTATGGATTATGTAATGTGTTATATTTATACCCCAGTACATGCGTTAGAGCATATATTATAGTGATAAAGCGTGTAGTGTTCCTTAGAAGACAAGAAGTGTGTAATTAC